ACCCCTGCAGTCGTATTTGCGACCACTCGGCCAACGAGGCAGTCAGTTCTAAAAAATATTCGTTGAATGAAATGATAGTGATCTACCTGTGTATACTAACATAATAAGTGTGTTTATACATCCTATATTGCTTTCGTCGGTTGTAATATTCGCAATAACTTTAATTGCTCTTGCAATTTTTTCAATAAAACTGGTTTCATTCGACCTCTCGTTAACGCTGAATGACTTTAAATTCCTGTTGTTTTTATATATTTATTTATATCTGCAAATATTTTCAGTGGAAAATTATTTAGTGTAGATATGATAATGTAATGTATTAAATATTTCACTAATAAGTTAACTGCATTTGCAATGACATACAATTCCTAAAAACGTATTGTAGTGTTGCTAATTATTTGCATAATTTTTGTTTCGAGTCGCATAGTGTTAAATGAAATAGTTCAGCTTTTAGATGACAGTTATTTGAAGTTATTAACGCTGCAACTACGACCAGGTGTGACTGGCTCACAAGGAATGTTAAACCTAATTGTTTCACAATTTCGTGATTGTAGAGTCGATGTAATATCAAAATAATCGATCATTCATAAGAACATGACTCGTAATTCTGTTTAAAATTTATTAATACCCAAGAACCTATGTAAGTAGAACTGCTCCGTTGTTTATAACAATTTTAGAATCGGGTAAGAAATTATTTGGGAACTCCCTACAGATGTAGCGAATTTTTAATGGAGGAAAACAATAAAAATCAGAATAACCTTTATCAATTATCTAGAAAATCAGTTTTGAAAACTAATTCAAGATACTGAAACTAAAAAACATAGGTTGTCTTGTCAATTGCAGTTTCTATACGATCTAAATCAATGATTCTATACAAACACACGATAAATAGTGATGTCAAAAGATTAGGGCGTATACGGTTAACGATGTCAAATAGGGTCGTATGTATTCATTAATTCTTGCACTAATTAATGTTACAAATAAAATTTTATGGAGTATACTAGCATATGTCCTACATTGCGGTTTTTTATAACAACTTTGTAGTTTCTGTGTCTTATAACGAACAGCTACTTTAAAACTAATAAATAATAGCCAAAAACTTTAATTCAGTAAATTAGAGGAAATCATAATCACTTAGGTACTGTACAAGGTAAAACAATGCATTACATTCACTATAAATTATAATTACTCACCTATGTTAGATGCTAATCATGAGTTAGCTGCTAACATTTTAATTTAGACTATAAACCTGTCCTTACTTTATTTAATTACATAGGTAAGGTTATACTTTTTACTTTATTGATCATTGACTTTTTGCTAAAGGCACTTCCCTAATCGGTGAACGCACTTCAACCTTGGTTCCATATTAGAATAAATCCGGCACGTGTATGGTACACTGATTTGCTCTATATTGCATTACGATTATTTATCTACCATTAGTGCCTAGCTGAAATCTTTAATACCTATGTACCTACCTAATAGCCCTTTTTCTCAACAACAGTTGTTGCTTGAAATACTTAATAAAATTATGCGTTTAATTCACCCTTTTAACTTACTTTAAAAGGGAAGAATGACGTATTCAACGCCAACATTTTTTTAGTAAAAGTATATGCGTATTGTATGTACTTGGTAAGTTTGACATTCAAAAAGCAAATTTTTTGTTCGGCCTAGCCCTGCTTCCTGTGAATGTCGTAAGACCAGTGGACACCATTGTCTCCGAAGGATGGGCATCATTCAAAAACTACTAACATTGTAGTAATAGGTGCTCCAATTTGTCAGACATGCACACTTCTTTGACCTCGTTACGCTACAACACTATCCGTGTTAACTGATTTGTTACGCCTGTCAGCAAGGAATATTCCAACTCATTGCAATGTTTAATTAATTCTTAATCTTTCTAAATGTTAACAAGTATTAATGCAAAACAAGTGCAACCTAGTTTCTAAAATTAATTTGTCTTTCATAACTGCTTACGTTACTTGAATCAGTATCGTAAAGTATATAAAGTATGCTTTATAAATAAACGGACAAAGATCTAAACATATTTCAGGTCTGTTCTAAGAAGATGTCAACACCATACTGTATTATTTCCTCAAATCCGTTCACCAGCTGACATTCTGAGTGGCTTACTGACATGAAAATTGCACTTAATTTGATTTAATGCTTTATTCTTAACATGATAACTACATAATAGGAGAACAATGGTCTACGCAACAATCAGGGGTGAAGACAGTCACTTTTGTGTAATAACTCTTTCTGTGACTGGTAACATTATTATTTGAAGGGTAAATAATTCAAGGTGCGGTACATGAAAACTTAACCAACATCCTCGAATTGTTGTTATTTCGAAGCATTACCCAGGAAATCGTTAATTGGCATAACGAGTCCCGAAGAGTAGACGCTACAGTTTGTCGAATTAAAAAAAATTTTTGCTATTAATTCATAACTTCATTCAATGCAATATAAATCAAACAAATCGCTTGAGATACGATTTGACAGCGAATTTGATTAATTACCGTATCTGTATGAATAGGTGGTTATGTCTAATGAGGTATAAGTATTGGCTTCAATAAACCGGTCCACGGTCGCCCCACATTATGCCACATGCTAGATAGACCGTCAGCGTTCAACGCCTATGAATGACAGACCCGACTTTTGTTATTAGAAACTCGTTATCATTATCGTTATATAATCCGCACTATCCATACTTACATTGTGCACAGGCGCTACTCTTTAGAAATGTGAATTGTTTGTACTTGAAATATATAAATCTCAGAACAGTGTAAAACATTTATGAACGCGTGAATGATTAAGGATTCTGAGAGTAATTTAAGTACTTTTTACAGCGAATGATTGTAAATCTTTATTCTTATTTATATTTATATCTTAGGATGAAAGACTTGGAGGAAAATAAATCTATTTTATACCGACTTTGGTTTAAAATACCTTATAACCACAAATGACAAGTAAAAGAAATCAACCACTGAAGTATACGGTTATCTTAGATGGCGCTGCTGTATTTTAAAAGCTCCTAGTGTTCATTCATGATGTATTTTTTCGTATCTTTGGCAAAGAATAACGTGGATAATACCTATTATATATCGTGTCTATTTATTTACATGCTTCTATGTACACGAACTTATGAACTAATTCATCACTAAGGTAGATTCAAGTTGTGTAACATTCGCAACAAAAAATGTCGAGTACTAGTTTTTGATCAGTGAGAGTTGATGGTCTAGTTTCAATGTGTACGAATTTCTAGTATTCATTACATAGCATTATATAATTACTACATTGGAATACTTCTTTATTTATTTTATTATCTCATACATATTTAATAGGAATTTTATCTTGGTTACCGTTATTTCTTACAGACTTGTTAGGTAGCTATGTGAATACTTACGTATTTATTTTGTTCATTACTTTAGACAATCACTATATATACGTATAGTATACTGAATTTATGACTAAACAATATTTCCGCACAAGATGATTTTCTTCTTGATAAACGGACGGACTCAATAGAAGATTAGGTATATAATTTTTTTCTCTAGGTAATCAGGCATCAATTTATTACTGCTAAGTATGTAGTTACATTGCAAAATTTAGCATTAGCTTTTTATAGGCTACTAATTTTAAACATACTAAGTAGGTAAATATCGCGTTAGCTATGAAAATTACATTAATTTTAATAAATAAAACGTTGTTCCAAAGTATTAATGCATTATTTCAAAATTTGTCAACATAATTTTAAGAATTTATCAAAATAATTTCAATAATTTGTGCATGCATTCACGCAAGGACGTAACCAAAATACCAACATAAATACATATTATTTAGTTTTAATATTTTTATGCAACTAATATACTTAGTCGTTAGGGATCACTGAACTAACTTCTGGTTACTATTGATGATTTTCTGAATCAACTAAAACACTTTTCCGAGTCAAAGCGGACTTAAGCTAACGACGGCCTCGGTCATACGAGCCCCTCGGGTCAGCCTCTTGTCTCAAATCAAGATACAAAAATCAACATATTAAATACTAGACCTATTTCAGAGGGTTAAGTAGGCCGACTAAACGATGGAATCAAATGCATTCATACATTCTTATGCAGTCGTAGAATGAAAGTTAGATAACTCAAGTATGTGTTTAGTGCAAGTCATCTCTACGAAAGCGTCCTTGAACTATAAGTAAAAGTCGGTCAAGTGCCACGCTAGGTCATTACCAGGCATTTGTTTTTGACATGCACGTCTAACCACGTTCAACTTAAGTCATGCAAATAAAAGACAGTAGTAATTTAATAAAGACGTCAATGTTTTAGTTTATTTATATTTATTAAGTATTTAATATATTCGTTGGTTAAAGAAAAGTCGGGCAACGGGTCACAGGTCAGTGCGTTGGTTAAAAAACCGGACAAGTTTGTGTCGGGGTCACAATAAGGTTCCGCAATGTGAACACGAGAGTTTTGTTTAATTCTGGATTAGAATTGCGGGTAGTTTATTATTTTTGGAAGATGATTATTATTATTTGATTAAAGACGGTAGTGTACTATTATTAATAATGTTAAATGGATAGTACCTATAGAACACATATCAAAATAATAACCGATGTAAATGCAGGAAAGGCCACATGTCGGCTCATCGTTCATTTGTGGAATCCCAAAAGTAAAAAGTTGTCGTATTATCCAATGTCAAAGTTGACGCTGTTCCGCCATTGCATGGCGCAGTGGTGCAATTTTTGGTTAATTTTGTTTGACTCTCAAATTCTTCATGTTACGTGACTGGAATTAAATTAAGTAGGAAGTCCTAAACTTGTATTATTTATACTTGATTGAATTTGTTACGGAATCGAATACGTATTGGTGAATTTGGAAATAATTGTAGTCAAATTGTACGTGATTACTCTAAACCCACCGCACCGTGGTGTAGTTCAAGGTCGTCCATTCTTTTCTACAAAAAAAAATTAGACTCATAATGACCACTATTGTTTCAGATCAATCACAATGAGGAGACACGTTGTACTCTTGCTGGCTTACGTAGCTACTGCAAGTGCTACACTGGAAGTAGTCAACCAATGGAGCTTCATGCAGTTTGATTTTCCCCCCGATCCAGTGCTCTTGGAGAAGTTCCAACCAGAGAACACCGTTCCCACGGGTCTTGAGATTGGCTGGGACAGGCTCTACTTGGGAATACCTCGATTGAGGGCAGGCGTACCTGCAACTTTGGCTTGGATACCACGCAGTTTGCCCCCAGGCGTCAGTCCTGTTCTTCAGGTGAGGACAAGAACAACTTTCTTTTATTGCGCCATAGATATATTACGCACGCGTGGCTCTGATTGTGACGTTATTAAATCGATTTATTTTCCATAATACAGTACAGTTCAATACGGTAGAAATAGTTAAGTAAATTGAATTGATTTCAACCTCGACGGCTACAATAGTATTCATGACATATCACGCCGTTGGCTCTCAGTTGCCTCGAGATTCGAGAGGCCGGTGAACATGCCAACAATTACTTAAAGACTAAATACTTACGTAAAACTAAAACATTTATCGAGGGACTGTACGTAACATTACTTGTGAAATAGACCAGTGTCATCAATCTTGCTTACGTCACGATGCATGATCTATACAACTTGTGCTGGTTGAGCTTCATAGGTAATTGCTAAATGAAAATCGATTGACTCACTATTTGAGTTCATCTAAATTTTTTTAAGATCGTGTCGTATTAATCTATGTAAAAGGCATTTAATTTAGTAGGTACCCATCTGTCAAGTTTATTTGATATTCGTATAACGTGTATTTCATTGCTTAAAGTTGTATCGAGACAACTTCAGCTTTATGCGTTACTAAGCACATTTATTGAACATTTTTGACGCGTTCCTTTTATATTCCGCCAATACGATAAATTAATATAAAAAAATACTAGATAAGCAACAGATTCACATTCCTATGGAAAATAGAAGAAAACCATATTCGGCGAAAATCGGATAGATAGTTTGCATTACAAGTTTTATTTATGAGTTAAGACTATAAACAAAGTAACTAGATCATTGTTGTTAAGCTATTTCGACATGAATTTAGTTAAGCATAGTAATCTGTGTTTGCCGAGTTGAATGCTAAGCACCTTTACATGATTTTATAGAGCCAGTCGTGCTTTATGAGCAATCACCTAGATTGTTACGTCTTTCAAAGTTATTTTATTGGCATTGTTATGTTCGTGTATTATGCTTTTGGTATTATATTGAGTTTAATATCGTGGACGTGAGTGAAACCTTTGCTGCAGTTGTTCTGGTAGAAGATAGAATACGAAGAAACTTTATCTTTAGAAATGTTCGTATAATCGATGTTCCGAATAACAAATGTATATCTCGATAGAGTTTTACTTAATAAATCGAACCCCGACAGCTGTACACACGTCAATCAAGCTTAAGATAAAATTATTACAGCCTAAATAATCTCGTAGTAACACTAATCACTACATTTCAACTGTTATTAAAAGTAATTTGCTCTGATGAATATTAATGCGCAGCACAAATTAAGTTATCTTTAAGTCACGCATAGATGCATGTTATTCATAGCTTGAGAACTTGACATTAAGTTGTCCCCATAGATTGTCAAGCACTCCTAACTCAGCGCAGATTATACATTAAAGTCAACAGTCTCACTTTTATTGGAATCTAAAATATCCATTGAACATGTCATAAAAGTTATTCCTTACCAATCTGTATGTTTTTTCGCAAAAAAGCTGTACTGATCTTAATTGGATTTGATACTGATATAAATTATTGTAGTCTGCAATATACGTGGTAATAACACAATCTACAGTTCCTTGAAACATTCTTATATGTTTAGATTGAAGTGCATCTCTTTGCGAAGGAACATTTTGGAAATTCGTTTCTTTCTGTACTATTTTTTTTTGTTTTACATTACACAATTTTAAATGCGATTAGGGTATCTTGTATTGCTAGTAACCTAGTAATAAGAAATGAAACTAATCCGATCATATGGTTTGAAATAATTCTAAGGAAACATACCGCAGATTCGGATTTCAAATCGAGTTGCGCAATTATTTTGTAGGTAGAGCCTGTGTCGCCTTCGAAAGCTGAGTTTGTGTAAATACATTGAATAGGACCTAAGTACTGGCTGACCTACTTGTAGTACTTTAGTTTACAAGAGGAATTTTACTTTTAGAAAGTGTTCCAAACCAAGTCATTTAGTAGCTGCCTAGATACCTAATAGATAGTTCAAAGCTGTAAGGTTCCCTAATTTTTCTTCCATAAGATAGGTATCAGTGTGATCTGTCCTAAACCTGGCAGCTATTTGGTATATGTGTCTGTTATAAAAACATACGGGTCATAATATAATCATCATAATAGAACATACGTAAAAATATTACCTATTATGTTATATATGATGTTGGGATTACTATGTAGACTATGCAATATAAAAATTCGTATACTTTTTAGATTAAATAAAAAATGAGAGGTGAAAATATTAAACCTAACCTTCAAAAAGCTATATAACTTTATTTGTCTAGATTGCATTTCGAAACCTAAATTGGTTCTGATCCAAATCTCTGATGCAAATGTATGAAGGTGTTCAAGTCTATCAAATATGTATATCTACAGCTCTGTAAGTATTATTTACTTAGAAAACCTACTAAAGAAGGTTCTTGGCCAGTATTCTCAATTCGACTTTGTGTAGGAACAGACTAGCGAACAAAATATTACATTAATTGTAGCATTTTGTTGCGCAAACCATAGACATTATCTAGATCTTAATAAACTAGATTAGAACAATTATGTCTTTTAATGTCAGCTTTATTGTTACAGATATAAAGTCTAGATTATCAGTAAAAAGCTTGAGGTTTAAGTCACGTTTCCAGTTTTATTTTTTAATACGGATAGTTGGATATGTTAATAAGCTGTTGTTATTATGTATTGGTCAAGATTAACTGCTCTATTCAGCATGCAGTTTTAGTACAAGTAATAAGGAGTGCCGATAAATTGCTTAATATTTCCTTTCAATGAAATGCGGAGGAGTAGATATTGTTTAAGTGTATAAGGAGGTTGTAACTAGGTAAGGAGGTTATAACGTTGTCCAGTTATAGAGGTAGAATAGCAAGCGTAAAACTTATTTAGATGTTAAAATATCCTGGACGTCTAAAAAGATTTAGCAGGTTTTCTTCATTTTTTCCTATGTACATTTATGTAGTTTTTTTATTTGTCTACTTGGTTATGATGCAAGTATTGCCTACTGAACATAGGTCAATCAAGCGTCAATCAAATTCACATAGAAAATACATTACTCGTATCAACAAATGTGTCACTTTTTATGATGAAAAACCGTAATGTGACGAGATCCGGTGTTACGACTAGGACAAAACACAATCGTTTATCGGGAAAAACTGGAAGAAATATGAACACGATTGTTACTTAAAGCAGGGAGTAGAGAACCTGCTTACTATTCTATGGGATAAAGGCGTGACAAAGGCGTAGAGTTACGCATGTAGTACACGCACATGTCGGTAAGAAAAACTGAACAATTTTTATTTTTTCCTGTACCTCTTGAATTGGCTGAGCAAGTTGTAATATTTAGAAGGCAATCCGTATCCATTTCTAAACTGGCGAAGCGTATAAGGCGAACATGTTAAACCAAGTGATTATAATATTGTTCCGCGTCGGAATTAGATAACGTATTGGTGTTAATACTTGTTACAAATACGCGTTATGCGTAAGGCTTACTTGGAAAGCGTGAAGGGCACGCAGTTTGCAGTGTTGGCCTTGACGGACTGTGCTGTGGTCTGTCACTTAGATGTGCCACATGCCTTGGACCAAAGTCGTGTGTTTTATTATATTTCGGTACTTTAAAGGTTATTGTCAGTACAAAATAAGATTTTAATAAGTTAGGCAGAGATTTGCAGTAATAGTAAAGCATACAATTTTGTCAGGATGATTAGGTACAAACAATAACCGTCCTACAATTACTTATGGTATTCTAATGGCAAGTAGCTGCAAAAATGAGTTTTGCAATTAAACAAAAGGCTAATAATATTTCCTTTCCGCTTATTGCGTTCGTAGTCTATTATTTACTATTTGCATAGCATAAGTAGTAGGTATCTATATATTACGAAGTATGTAGAATATCTAAATAAATAAATTGTACTAGTCGGTTGAATTTAATTCAAGAGACGTTATAAATGTTTCCTGTTCTGAATTTAGATTCAAGAGAAAGTCTAGTATTTCTTATGGGTACCTTTACATAAATGATGTGCGAGCCTATTGAATTTAAGCACAATCTCGAGTTACCAATGCGGTAACGTGCAAACCTGTGGTTATGTAATTAGACGACAATACTATATGAACACTAATAAACTTGTCCAATTACACACCATAATTTTTATACTTAAAGGTAAATGTATGGTTAGTGTAGTGGTACATCTATGTCTATGTACATAAATTCTACCAGTTTTGAACATTGTGAAAAGAAAAATTTAACTGGTATGGTGTGTCTGTCTACCGTAATGGGCCGAATGAAGGCGTAGGTAAGTTTTTGTAAGTTTCATCAATAGATTCATTACCTGTGGTTACTTGGTGTCCTCACCATTGAAATTGATTGATTGAAAGCATATTATCACGTACCGGACACAACTTCAAGAATTTAGGAAATTGATAAGGTCATTACATTTTTTTAATAGATTGATCTCGACTAGTGAAATTACCCAGTTAATTGTATTTATGTTACACTCAATTTAAAGTTTGAACATGTAATTTTTAAATTGTATTCAATGCACTCTATATAAGTTATTTACCAATGTAAATGCACATTGTAATGTCAAGAACATTATTCATCCTTTGTTCGATTTCTTATTTGTATGCGCGTCGAAAAATATTGTGATGTGTCGACTGGTTATTGAGATGTTTTCCATTCAACTACATGTTTTATGGTCAACATAATATGCTATGAATACCTAATAATTATGTACGAAAAATAACGTACCGTTTGTTTATTTCTTTATCCTTAGTAAAACACATATTTTAAGCCATACCTACATTTAAAGTAGATAAATAAATAGAACAATGAAATGATGAAATCTCAAAAAGTAATAAGTAGAAATTAATTTGAATTTTGAAATTCACAATAACATTAGGTTCATTCAGCAACAGCGCATTTACAGCTTTTAAACGAAGTTTTGCAATTAGTTACCTAAACGGTATAAATTATCGTTATGGCGAGTAAATTCATTCGATGAATATTGAATCTTTAAATACCTATATAGACGTCATTAAAAGATAAATATTATGAATTGTTTATTTGACTAGAAAACAAATATTTTGTCTTATATATCTATTATTTACTACTGTAATACTGGATACTAGATAAATTATACGATGCGATACTAGATCATTACAATTATTATCCCTCTACTAACCATAATTATATACCTTGTTATAATTAATTTCAATTCATTAATTTTTTCTTCACAGGCTTATCCTGACTGGTCATGGCATACGGCTGGTCGAGGTGACATCAACTGCACAGGTTTGATCTCCGTGTACCGCGTGCGAGCTGACAGATGCAACCGACTCTGGGTCTTAGATGCTGGAGTGGTTACCAGCATCGATGACTTCAGACGAGTCTGCCCTCCCAAAATCCTGATCTTTGATATGGCTACTGATCGCTTGGTAAGTTTAAACGGTTAAGATTTTTCTAAAGATTTGTTTTATGATATTTGGAATAATGAAAAATATTAATGAAGTAATGTTCATTTTTTTTGTTACACGAAAGAGTACACGTTTTAAGCTATCACCAATTAAGTTGCTATATTGCAAATTAACTATTTTCTTACTATCTCCAGCAGTTTTTCTAGATAATACGAGCTACTCACTTTCACTGAAATGACAAAACTACATACGTGATGTTTTGATTCATAACACGTATAATAGAACTAGAACAACAGATTCTCTATTTACATAAAGAAGACAAAGACGTGTGTTGCATATATTAGTTCCACATATTCCAATGCAGTGCACGTATTTGGACGTTCTAAATGATTTCGTCAAAAATAGAAAAAGTTGCTCTATTTAAATTGATCTCACAATAAGTACCTACATATTATACTCGTATTACAGCTTTTGTGCTGTGTCATAATATAATTATGGTTTTCCTAGTTTTTATATATCAAACTTCATTTCTTTTTCATCATCATCTGATTTCAAATATAATATGTTTGCACGTTGTAGTTGTTTGTTGAGGCTATTTAGATATTACTTCCCTCCATTTTTACACAGCGATGAAACAGGGGAACTACTAGTAAAACCTGTCAATTTCTACTCGACTTGTGTGGTCTTGTATCACTGTCAGTTACGCAAAGATTGTCGCATATTGATGTCCAGTAACTAAGTCTTTAATTAGGTAATTGATTTTTTGCAGGCAACTCGTTACTCGCATACATGACCAGTATTTTTATAGAGTTCCGTGTTCTTGAATGGTCTTCATGTAATTAATTAATTAATTTTATGCTTAAAGAATGAGTGATCTAAACAGTTCTAAGTTTTAAAGTTACACATGGGTGAATTCTTCTTACGTACCTATAGCTATGCATATCATTTTTGATTTGTGAATAATGACAAACTAGACCACATACTTACCTAGCCTAGGTATTTCCGTTTTAACTGTATTGGATAAATGGAAAATTCTTTATAATTCCAAAGTAAACAATGGTTTGACAAAAAATGTCGTGTCTAGTCTAGCTTGTGTTAAGTATATAATAACTGACGTTATATCAATCCTGTTAAGGATTAATGTCAAACTAGAAAGGTCAGGAGCAAGTGCTAATATGCCATTACAATAAACATTACGTCTACAATGAATCATATAGGTTTACGTCCAGACAAAAATAATCTCTATTAAATATAAAACAGGATATAAATTTGCTAAATGTTAATTAGGAATGTGATCAATGACATTAAATCAAGGAAATTACATTTCGTTGTCTCTGTTACGACCATCTGTTCCGTGACTGCCGGAACTTGTTTAGAGCACGGACTGTGTAAGGTACAGTGCTGGGCTCTGAGACATAAATAGGAAGCATTCAATAGAGAAAATCGATTTTATCTGTTACCAAACGTTAATAAGAATATAGCAAGAGCTTTTTGTCTTTCTGTAAATGTATATAGGTGAAGTGAAATGAAATGAAGTTTTGTATTAAATTAACTAAAAATCGCGGGTTACTCACGTGAATATATTGTCTACTATATATATGTCGCGCACGCTGCTCATGAGGAGGAACCTCTCTGTGGTTCAAAACCAGTAGAGCCTTTCTCAGTATATTCACGTGAGTAACCCGCGCTTTTTAGTTAATTTAGTATGTCTTACGATAGCTATTATAAAAACGAAGCTTTGTACTGTTGTTTGTAGATATTCAATATGGAATAGCATTGTTTGTGGTAACCATCCTAACCTTTTCAAGATATTTTCACAAGCAAAAAGGAGAGAGTTTAGTCCACTAACTCATGTTTCTTTAAATTATTTGTTTAATTCAAACCTCTTTCTTAGGACTTAATAGTTAATATTTTTATTAACAACTACCACAATCCAATAAAGCACTGAGTTATAATTTATTTGAAGGTCACTTCTATTAGATTTAAGTTTTAGTGCTTAAAAATTAATAACACCCGGAACATAACATTAACTATTATACTTTATAGTTCACATTTACCTACAATTTGCATACAACTGTTAGCAATTCGTTCCGTGTAGGTCAATTATTTTAAATGTTTCAACAAAACATGCATCGTGCAATAGGAACTAATCAAAGTCGTGCTGAGCTTATCTTGATTAGACGCAAGAGGTTGACTAACATGGTTACCAAGGGGACAACCGTTTCGCTTCGAGTGAACATTCAATGTTCTGGTGACAACACTTAAAGCCCTTCGTATCTACTTAAGAATATAAATGACTTTTAACTGCATAGGTAAACATATACTAATTAGGTACCTATCCTGCCTCGTTGGCCGAGTGGTCGCAAGTGCGACTGCCGGGCAAGGGGTCTCGGTTTCGATTCCCGGGTCGGGCAAAGTATTACTGGGTTTTAAAAAAAATCTCAGTAGTAGCATGGAGTCTGGAATTGTGCTCGGTATATGGCAATAGGCTCACCCACTATTACATGGGATTTATAACATAAATACTGAAATGTGGGTGTTACATTGTACAGTGGCATTAAGTGCCGTAATGTGCACCTCTTCGGGGATAAAACGCGTGATGTTGTGTTGTATTGTGTTTACATGTACTAAATAATACAAATGTGTTATACCATATTTGCTTTGAGTAAATGGCATTAAAAGAAAAGGCACACGTTGACTTATAGTACCTTAGGCCTTAGTACGAATTTCTTACATGTTTAGAGTAACTGAAATGTAACGGCATTCGGCGCCCTGATTGGTTGGTTCATTGGCGCCGGCCAATCAGAATGCCGGACGCGTACTCGTTTCGATGAATTTAAACGTAAAACAACTCGTACTAAGGCCTTTGTACATGAATTCTGAAAACCGTAAAAAAACAATTACACTCAAACTGACGAAGAATCGCATTTATTTATGATCTGTTTGACATCATTCTGTTTTTACTTGCATTTGTCCACCTAACGAATTAGTGATCATGCTATAAACTGAAATAGTAAGTAGGTATTAGGTATTTGGCGTTTTTTCAATGCACTCTACCTAATTAGGCATACAGTTGTTATAACTTGTTGTGTTCTAATTAGTAAAATGTAATTAAATTGTTACATAAACAGCGTTTGGTTAATCGTGCGTGGCGACGATAATTGTATGTAGATCAAGTGTATAATCTGACATATCGATATACATTTATGATGTGTTAACAATTGATAGAAAATAAATTAATTTATAAACATTAATTTGTTTTGCAAACTTATACCGTGATATGGATCTAATTGGAAAGTCATAATTCGTTTTTTAAAAAGACAGGTCTGGATGCGGCCGCGGCGTAACTACAACGTTTGGTGTCCGTGGCAAATTCAACTGATGGCCCCCATGTTTTCAATAAAAAACAGGGGTTCTTTATGAAAACCTCTGAACTAGCCCTTTCCAGCTTGGGGCCCGTGGCCTTTTGCCGACTTGCCACTCTGTAGTTACGCCATTGGATGTATGTACAGAATATTTTAATGTTTTCGACCTGAGTAGTGTAACTGGTGAGCCCGACAATATATTAGTCATGTTTTTAAAGTCAAATACCTTTGGAGCATGTAACTTCATTACAACTCAATAATATGTATTTGTCAACACCAAGTTATAAATTATCAATGCCTGTTAAATATTACATGCGAATGTTTTGCAATTCAATAAGAACATTATTTGATTAAGCTTAAACAACCATTAAGTTATTTGTTTAAGTTTATTTTTTTCCTCATTTAAACATTTTGTTTTTTTAATTAAATGTAGGTGCCTTGATAATCTAATAAGTACCATTAGGGCCGATTTTTCAATCATCAGTAATTCTTAACTGTAGAATAAAATGTACATTTGACAGATTTTAGTATGAAAACTTGTCAAATAATCTAAGTTGTAAAATATGCACCTCTACCTACTCCGTTGGTGATTAAAGTCGTAACGTTAATTAGTTATGTAATGTTGAATTAGAACGCAGCTATGACAACGGTTCTTACTAGTGCTACTATTCTAGTGTCGGCCTTTAATCGGCCATTTTGTGCGTGGGTGAACTATTTTATAGACTTTTCAAGATCAAATCACGATAAAAGCATGGTCATTGTTATTGAACTCAATTTGGAAACATTTGACAAGCCCATTTAGAGATAATTCGATCAATATTGATTTCTATGTCCATGTAATAGAAACGAAATTAAAAGTAAGTATCTAAAACTTTAGACTAGTTTTTGCAGATTTTTTGTTTGTCTGTACGCCTGTTATATAATAGTACTCAATTGAAGTTGAAATCATTTGAATTGAAATTAGCTTTAAAGCTATTTGTTTACAAAATGTAATGAATGAATTTATATGTTTTCAGGCTATGATGCCGACCATTTAATGTTAACTTTGTTCTTACTTTTTCTTTGTATACTTGTAGGTTTCAATGCCTTCATTGAAAGAGAACATTATGTCGGTTTCAAGGAAAGCTCTATACAAACTTTCAAGGATGGTCTTAATCTAGTAATCTCGTAAGATTAATACAATTATATTATTTAAGACAAGTAAAACAAAAGTCACGAACTAAAAAGAGGTTAATCTACTTAAAAGTAACCTTCTTGCTGGCTTTTGTTTGCATAGTCAAGTTATGCATAAGCATAGTCAGTCACGAAAATGATAAGCCGTTGATATTTATCAATTCACAGCCTAAACAATTCGAAGTGAAAGGAGATTTAGTTATGTATTTATTATTTGTCGTGCTGTGATAACTAAGTAATAAATTCTTAACCGACTTGATACCAGTAAGCGGGACTAACGTACTTTAGTGTTTATTATGCAGGAACCGGAATCCCGCTAAAGTTATGTTAGAAAGGGCCTACAACTATGAACTTACTGCATATTTATCTAATTGTACTGTTGTCTAGGTTTCTCTCTGTTACCTAAAGCGGGAAGCATCTCTGTTATAAATGTTAATAAGATAATTTAGTTTCAACTAGGGGTTTGTCACAAGAAAACTAAGTACCTAGCTGACTCGTTGGCTCAAACCATTTTTGTAGATTGTCAAACTCTAGGTAAATGTATTGTTGTAATCGCTCTATTAAATATGTCATTGTTGTTACCTGCACGGTTTGACTGCACGGTTGGTGCGGTGGCTGGGCAACCGGCTGCCGTGCAACGTGTCGCGGGTTCGATTCCCGCACGGGACAACACTTTGTGTGATCCACGAATTGTTGTTTCGGGTCTGGGTGTCATTGTGTATGTGAACTTGTATGTTTGTAAACGCACCCACGACACAGGAGAAAATCCTAAAAAACCTAACATTGATAACATTATTTTGTTTGTTTAAACAAAAACTCGGATTTGATAATGCAGAACCCAATTCCTAAGCTCATGCGCGATAAAGGTTTTCTAACTCGACAAAGTATTTGGTATCAAAATTACAATTAGGTACTACTTAGATATGAATGTCCAAACGACTTGTTTAATATCCTTATTGAACAAAGATGTGTGAGCCGTTTCCTTTAAGGGCAAACAATTTGAAAGTAGACCGCGGTGCAACATATTGCATCCGATAAAAGTTCAAGGTATCAATTGCATCGCAGTGTGAATCTATGCGTTCAGTTTTAATTACGGTGTGCATGAAAATAATTAGGCACTGTCTCATTATTCACTCATGCACAAAAGCTACTCAAGGTAATTTAGTGAAATCTAATGCGAATATTCCGTATACGCAAATACCTATGTGTAATGATACTAGTAATATTTTAGACAATAGAACAAAAGGTATCGTGATATTCCAAAACTTCAAAAGCTGTCTATATGGTATTACATACCCTGATATCTAGTATCTATTGTCTATAAAATCCTTGTACAGAAATTACATTCTTGTTCTAGTGATTGATCTAGTTCATTAATTACTAATAGATATTGCCTTGTCTTTATTTTACTACATGATTAATTACATTTTTTCTAGCAAGCAAATGATTCGGTGTCAGTATCAGCTAGCGAGGTCGTGTTATTATTTGAAAGGGTGTGCCCTGTCCAATTGTCCGTGGTGCAATTGTACGTTCCGACTCAAATACGCACAATTTGTGGGTGACCAGTAACCATGCACTGTATAATTCTAAACTAGTGAATGGCGTTTAACCTCGCGAACGGCCACGCTGACTATTAAATTCGCGCGTTTGTTCTTCACGTAATTTGTTTGCACGCTACTTGGTTCATTTCTGACGGGAAGTGCCTTCTGCATTTCTTTACGGCCTTCTAATTAGTTATTGCATAGATTAATCGGGGCTGTCAGTAACGGTATGGCTAGAATAAAATACATACATATGGAGGAACGCAAGTTTTGTTATTTGGGAAATGTTTTCATTCTGGCCCAATTTTAAGTTCTAGCCCCACCTACGTCTAAAGGTTTCTGAATAACGAAGCGCATGGCTAAGTTATTTTACTTTATATTACAGGTACGAAGCGTATACTTCCCTCGTGAGCTGCTGCGTCCTAGCTCGCTGCTTACCAACTGGTGCTTGACGACACTCGCTCCTCCAACACCAGGCTTGCATCTTCCTGCGACCATCTCTTCGCTTACATCAGTGACACGGTTGCACCAGGTTCGTTAACATTAAGGCTCTTTTAAACTATTCTGTTAAGTGTATTCTGACTACGCAGGTAGGTTGTATTTTATGAAACTTTTGTACATTTCTGCGTATCTTTGATGTTATTGATCCTATTCAAGTATGGAACAGAATGAATCCTAACCTTTTATTTTTAAAGTAGTAAACTTACAAAAAGTTATTTCTCTATGTAATATCACTTCAGAAGGTTGTGATATTTCAATGAAAAGATCTTTTTTTATTCTAAGTTTTACATAAGACCTTTATTACTATGATTTTGCTAATAATGGTTTGTGTAAGCCGCCATAATGTGGCCATAATTGTGTGATAAAATTTTTGCGCGTTTAAACATTCCTAGTAAATGTTCACACGCGTTTCTCTGCGAAAATATAATAAGTGCATAGTACGTGAGTATAATAACTTAGTAACATTAAAATTTAATGTTACATTGTAAAGTGTTTGGTTTCTTAACATAGATATTAAAAATTGTTTCATGATTCAACTGATTGAAGAGTTACAAGCACGTCATTTTGAGGTTTTTGTTATTTAAAAACCCCGAGTCTAATGTAGGATAAAAAATAGTTAGAGACTGAGGTTTCTCGAATTAATTAATCTGATAATAGAAACTACAATGTAGTTAAAAGTAATAATTTTTCTGTAACATCCTAATAATGAACCAAAAAAATATAGAAATAATTATTTAATTCTTTAAATATGTGTTAATAGAACTGATTGCTCACTTTATACATATTTATTGTACAATAGATATCATATTATAGGTATCTACAACAATTAACGTATCATTATAGGAGCACATGTATTACAATTAGAATACTTACAGTGATATCCAAACGGACGTGATTAGTTTTAATAAATTATGGGCACTTGAAATACTTAATTGAGGATTTATAGTCAACAGTAATCGTCAGACAATTAGCGGCTGACTGTAAGTGGCACATTGAATAATTGCAGACTAAATACATGAGTTTCGGTGTTTAGTGGCCATCGAACCGTAAAGCTTCGAAAAGACTACTTTCTCTGAAAATGTAACGTAACTATATACCTACCTACAATGACATATTCAAAAATTCACAAGTTAGTGCCCGTCCACACGGCGCAGTAAATATCGCGCGTATTTTTTTCCATTCCTTTCAATCTTATGGAAGGCCCCGCACACGCGATAAAAAAACTTGCGGTAAAAATTCTGTGACGCGGTGCGAAATTAATTTCGCGCGTATTTTATTTTTGTTATGCTGACAGGCACTTACACTTGCCTATTAATTAAAATGGTCGACTGTGTCATTTCAAGAAATTGTATCATTGCATAATTGTAAATAACTGTTTAAAGAATTCGTGAACTGTAAAATTACGGAGGCAAGCAGTTTTAAGCATTTATTTGCATTTTATTATGCATTGTTTTATTTATGTAAAGTTAAAAGATAAATCATCTTGATTAATGATTTAGGAATCTTTTCTTGTAAAGAAATCGTTATAATTTACATTATTCTTTACGAAAAAGTGTATACAATAGGTGCATAAATATTTGTGAAAAAAGCAGTTGAAGACTCCATATAATATTTACGATCTTCTTGTGTCTATATCTATAGGATTTAAGTATATCTTAATCAGTTTCTATTGCTTATATTAATAGCTTGCATCTCCTTATTGCTTTAAGCAATACATTTTTATAGGCTTTCATAAAGAGATCAATGTAAGTACCTAAGTAAAGCGGTTGCATTTGATTATCTCTACCTACCCAAGCAGAAGACTAGTACCGGACGATATGTTAATTTTTACATATGTTTTGTATAATAATGCCTATAAATATTAATTTTTATATGAGGAAAAAATATTCAAAAATCAAGGATTTATAGCGACATTCAATATTTCGTGTGAGTCGAATGCAATCTTGACAACCCGTTTAATGTAAATCGTCCAATTCCACTCAATCATGGTCTTGCGATATGAACAATGACCCTAAGAGTTACCTTTAAGCGGTCTGGGTCAATGAACTTTGAATTATCCACTCAAAATTATCTTGATCCGATAAGAGTAACTTAATAAACTTATTTTTTAACAAAACATCTTATTTTTGGTTTTGGATAGGTACTTTATTTTTGTGATCTAACTGCGACGGAAAGATGATTATACCTACTCAGCGTTTAAGGTTCTTCAGGAGATGTCTTCAGGCTGATGGTGACCATATTTTTAAATGTTTGGTATACGCAGTATATTAGGTATATACTGCCTAGTAAATACCTACGTCATAGTTTCCAATATCAAAAGTTTTCATCTTTAAATCATTATTTCATGTCTATTATACATATTTGTATTCACTGGAATTCAATTTCACGGCACAGTGCACAACGCTGTTTTTTAGTCTAGCTACACCAGAATGTGCAGAGAAATGACTAAATGTATGAATAATTATTTTGCATACTGTATATATTGGTTTCTATATCGGAAATTAGGTGATTAAGATAGTTACAGACAAGTACAGATAGTCTTATAAATGGACGGACGACGAGGTGATAGCACCTGTCTTGAATTAAGGCGTTGCTTGAGAAATCTACCCTACGCTTGGCAGACGCAGGATTGAGTCTCGCAGTTTGAATAACAAAAGTCTAGAAGATGCGGCTGCCCGTCTCTCAGTAGCTGGTGGCAAACAGAATCTTTGTATAGTTCCCCATAAAGCAGTCATATGAACAATTCCATTACCAAACATAATATACATGCCCATGTATCAAAGTTGAAATGGCTTAAAAACATTTGATACAAATGCGTACGTCTGTAACAAAGCTAGATCTAAGTGTCGTGAGAACTGTTACTATGTTTTACCAAGTACTAGATTGTAGATATAATACCTTTAACCTCCTAAAGAATTTCCCACAATTGATATGTATTTATCGTCATCTCATACGATAAACTCACATACTGGATACTCCATCTTCATTACTTGTCTATGGGAACAATGCAAGTGACGCAATTTGCTCGGGATGGACAAAGCAATATTGTTAACTGCTGAAGATATTGTGATTACAAACCGTGAGTGTAAAGTACAATGTTTGGAAATTGATGAATGAAACTTGTTATCATCTACGTATGAATGTATTATTTTGAGAACGCATTATGAGGATGTATCAATACGTAATTACTTGATCGACAAAGTGATCTAGAGAGAGTACATATGTATAGGTACAGTACATACATACAACTTTGCCAATCTCCTCGGGGAATAAGAACACATAATTTGATGTTTGCATCCCTACATGTTGTTTGATTTTATTTTCGTAAATTCCAGGTATCATCGTGTACGATGGTCGTCGTGACAACGCGTGGAGAGTCACGCACGCCTCCATGTACCCCGACCCCGACCTTGGAGAGTACGACATTGGCGGCGAAAGGTTCACCCTCATGGACGGTATTGTGGGTCTCGCTCACTCCCCTGCTCAAGGCTTGCTGTACTACCAGCCTTTGGCCACTGACAGGTACCTACTAATGTTACATTCGCCTGTCCATTTATGTTTCTTGGTGACTGCATCAAATTACATCAAACAACTAACAGGTCTGGTATATAATAATATATTTCAAAGAAAGCTACATTAAACATAACAATACAGGTTTGATTTGCCAAAAGGCGTTGACATGTGTGCACGTGTTAAATGTTACGTCCACTTATATTAAGATAATTATTATTCTGAGTACTCTATAGATTCTATTAAAAAACCTTTTGCTCTGTTCGGAAGTCAAACGAGGCTTGTTCGTCTGTCAAATTTCTTATAGAGTTTTTGTTTGATTTCAGACTGTTCAGCGTGTCGACTGCGGTGCTTGCATCTGGTCCACCGGCGGAAGGCACAGACTTGCCCGTGAACCTCGTAGGACGCAAGTCCTCGCAGGGTCTCGGAGTGGCGGTAGACCCGAGAGATGACACCATCATATTCAGTCCCATGACTGAGACTGCTATTGCGGCCTGGAACCCCATCACAAACACACACAAGTAAGAAATTCTGTTTATAGCAAAATTATTTAATTTTTAAAGCCTACCAACGAAGTTGCTAGATTTTGGTTAAGTTATTTTGGGAAAAGAAAATATTGTGGCAGTAGTTAAATGGTTGTAACTTACGAAGCCTTCGAGGTATTGAACACGCTTTTATTAGGTATATTTGTAACAACTGTAACAACTGTAACCTGTAAAATATACTTAGACTACTCATTCTTGTATCATCATAAAACTTGGCATAGCTTGTATTAATTACAGGCGGACCATATTTAGATTTTGTCCTTGTCATTTTGGGTCTGACGTCATTCACGTGTCATTTATTTTTATTTTGCGATTGACCTGGCAAACAGTTCAATAATGACGTATTTGTTTCATGTCACAATAATGAACCATGTCAGAAAAATTATTAAGAGAAAAGATAATTCTTGTATTAATAATTTTGTTGCAATTTCTATAAATTTACCACATTTTAAGCCTTTCTAACAAATATTTCAGGACCAAAATTAAACAGTCGGTCTTCCAGTTCAGCAAGACTAACAAACAACGGCTATTAATAATTATTAGAATATTTTCTGACCACAAGTCTACATTGATAAAGAAATCACTGTTTACTATCGTTGGTACTACAATTTCCTTATTCCACAACTCGATTAAAATAAAGTCAGTCACGACTCTATAAATGTAGGTATCACGTAAATTAATGAGTCATCGATAAAAAACAATTGAATGGGGGTTATGTTTAGTTTTCCTTTTCATAATGAATCAGTTTTTTCTAAAACGTGGGAATTTCCAATAGATTGCGGTTGTAGTATTAACCTTACTTGCAATAAGTGTATAGTATACAGGCAGGTACTTATTGTAAGTGGGGCTATAAAGTATTATGAAAGGTCGTTGTAACTCTTGCAATGAGGATGTAGCGGGAAGACGCTCATTTAATAAGCGTGATTATTACCTAATAATCAACCGGAAAATAGGAGAAAATAATTGATGAGAATATATTGTTAAAAATATTTTGAAGAGGTTTAATTGATTTGTATACATGAAATAGAAAAACAATAATAAATATGTACAACTGAAAATAAATTTAAACTACTAAAGAAAATAAAAGAAAACTAAAAATAATTTCATCATTTACAGGGAGTATCGAAAAATTCATAGATTGCTTGGTTGACAAATTTAAGCACCTTATATTATGGGAAATAGGGATGAAGTAAATACTCTAGAGACTTATCGTATTCTCAAAATTTTCTGTTGCCTAATGGTGATCTAAGAGCAATCCGCCAATAGCAAACTTCTTCTTCGGTTAGAACAGGCATTAGATTCAATGACTAGTGATGACATGCCTGTATGTACAGTGCCCCTATCGATGAAGTGTGTGGTCTTCTATTGGGGTATTTACTTTTTACTTAGCGATACTTTTTTAGCAGGTTTTTTACATACCTATACGTAGGTATAACGATTCAGTAATTAGCGTCATGGTTAGTATTTTTTAAATAAAAAATCTATTAATAGGTGCGGTCACGCTTATCGAGGTTTTCTTCTTAATGAGTGTTCAATTCAAAGAAAATTATTTAGCTTATGTTTTAGATCAAGATCACATATATAAATTATCAGTTGCGGTAATCTACCTATGTAAGATCGCAATAATCGTTGATTTATGATGTTTTTTTAAAATTTTATTTAGTGTTTATATTTTTCCTATTGTGTTCTTTTATCAGGGTGTTGGCCCAAGACCCAGAGAAGCTGCAGTTCTGCGCTGAGGTGAGATGGGCCGAGCGCGACAACGGCGCCATCTGGGCTCTTTCTACACGGTTCCACAAGTTCTTCCGACGCTCCGCTTCTAAACATGAGGTACCTATGAACTAATGAAAGAAGTAAAAGAAACATTGACTGTGACTTGCTTTACTAAAAATGGATTTAGAACTATTGGAATTTCGTCCACTTTTAATTTAGTACTTTCCTTCAAGAAGTTTTAATTACTTTCATTATTTTTATTTTCAGACCAATATTCGTATCTTACGCGTAGTAGACAGTGGATTCGTCTCTCTGCAGCCGCATGTACTTCGTCGTGCTGTGCAGTTCAACGCTACCTCCATCTCTCCGCACTAAACCATAACTTCCTGCACAAACAAGTGCACAATATTAGTATATTACACAATAGTAGCACGGGTCTGGTCCCAAGCCAACGTCCAATGACGTTCACTGCCAAAGTCAATACAGATTCCGAGTCCAATAAATATTATTTTAATACTTTTATACTTATAGCGGTTTGTGATGATAATCTAATATTGTAGAAGAAGAATCATAATACGGTTAGATAAAAAAATACTGTTCAAGTGTATTTGATACAGTACTGGATCCTAAAAAAGGAATGACAATGCCATTAGTGATGTGTTATTAATGTCTGTTGTGGTTCAGTAACCATAATGTTATTGCGCCTAAAATATTTGGATGTCATCACAAATTAAGCCACCATACATATACAATGTGAGCAACGGATACTGAAAAAATTGCATCAACAACCTTTTTCATAAGAATGAACATTCCGAAATACTTTTAGTTACCACCTTGTTATAATTGCATTTATGCAATAATTCGAAAAAGGTGTACAGGAAAGGAAAAAAAGAAATCTGTGCATAAAAGTTATTCATTTATTTATTTTTTTATTTGTACGCAGACAGATCTCAGTTGCTTACAAAACAAAAAAGTCAGTGTCGTAAGTGTTCAACAAAATGTAAGTATAACATACGTAGGTATGTAGAGGTCATTGACCAATGAGTTTGGAGAATTACAATGGTCGTTATATCAAAGACATTTTTATTTAAAGTATTAGTGTTACTTCTTCTTAAGATCAGTGAAAAAGAAAATAATTTGGCCGAAATACATACATAAGTTAACTTAAACAACCCATATTCATTAATATTGTTATTGATTTAATCTTTTGTATATAACTTTCGTTACCATGAACAAATTAACTGCATTGTACTCACGTTAGCCTACATTACAAGAATACAGACACGCTACCTCTAGTACGAACCCGACAAAGTAACGTAATGTATTTTTAGTCATGTGTAACTTACGAATTACGATTCTATTAATTAGCTGTTATAAAAAACTTATTTATGTTTCACCTGTGCATAGTTCGAGCTCGAAACCTGTCGGGCACAACCGAAGTACTTACCATTAAGAATTGTAATGTAAGCTTATAGTTTTGTTTTGTGCTAGAGGTGTCCTCTTGAGTTGTGACGCTATAGTACCTTAATACCGTATTAAAGTTATTGTGTCATCAATGAGTATTCAATATTGTGTTCACAAATACTCATTCCATTCATTCGAATGTGAGAAGAGGCTAGATTAATACTTTTCATTTGATACTTATTTACTTTTTCATACACCGCGGGTAATTTGAAGTTATGTGTGAATTTGAGCGCTAAGTGAGTTTCGACATAAAATGTGCTTCGAATGAATTTTTATTTTTATATCTATTATATTAGGGCTTATTTTTCGATCTCCAGTAAATTATATTACAAGTTACCTATCAAGTAACTGATGATTTTTTACTCGGATGTAGCAAAATGAGTCCTGCTTCCTCGTATTCAATGTATATTGCTATTTGCGTGTAATCATAAAAGTAGTGAACACAGATTTATTTTATAGACAAACGAACAAAAATAGTTTAGAATAAGGACACTAGCTGATCTATATTTCTTATATTTTATTTAAAAAAATATTCTTGTCTATCGCTCACAGTAATAAAATAGATCGCTAAGTTATTTTAATGTTTAAGATAATTTAACTCGTCGAGTACCGGTTTTATAGACACAATTAAAGAACAATAGGTCGCGGTCACCGGTGACCGCTTGGTGTTTGACAGTTTAAATCAATGGATAATAAATTCTATTCTTTCACATTTGCTACACAGATAAATTACGTTACAACTTCTGTAAAAAAGTATCTAATACTATAATAATAATCAACTACAAGGCTTTCTCTTGTGCCATACTATTATGGTATTCCAAGATATTTGATATCATTTTGTATATAAAAATACTTTATACTAAGTTAAAAATACTGCACAACAATATAATTCGAATTAATATGTAATTAGAACGCAGAAAATGTTTTAACATCGCTTAACAGTCTAGTAAATAAAATAGTTTGATATATAGGTACATTACATTGTTAAAATTTCTGTCTTTTTTTGTTATAAATGGTATGTTATGTGTATGAGCCAACTTTCGTACAAAAATATAGACTTTTTCTTCTAGTTCATACCTGTTCATGTTATCTTCAATTAACGCTCCATAGTTTCATAACCATCTAAGTATCTTTCCGCAATATGACAATTTCCTATAAACAGACGGAGTCATCACAAAAATATAATTATGATAACATTTTGTCAACAAAACAAAGAAAATAAATATTCTGTCTAATTGTAACCTTAGTTTATTATTAGTTTTTCCCATAATTACATGTTGAAGCCTTGTATCAGTAAACACAACTCATAGTACTAAATGATAATTTTCTTAATGAATTTTCTTATCGAACTGGGCCAAGGCATTATTTTGAGACTTCTTAGAATACACTTGACGTGTTATTGTACTCTCTCACGGTATTTCCCGTTTTGCTTGTAATATTTTTTACCTTTTCTAATATTTAATTTTCACGTCAAAAATAACCTTAGAATTTTGATGTTTGACTACCATCGTTAACAGTGTTTATTTATCTGAGTCAATTATTCTCGTAAGTTGGTTGTTAACAATAATTAAAGATGTTACTACAAATTAGTATGAATTTTACCGACTAGTAACTAGTACCCAGTGCAATATTTCTACACCAGCGTAAAATTACTCAATGTTAGTTTAAATCTATACTTTTGTAAAATTAATTCCTATGTTTATGCTTATTTATAATTGTAATTAGTCTACCCATACGTCTATTTGTACCTATGCTATTTTTGTACTTTTAGAATAAAATAAAATATTTAATGTGAATTGCCTTTAAATTATCCCTCTTACATCCTTACTTCCTTACTTATATTATAAATCGGAGAGTTTGTTTGTTTGTTTGTTCCGCTTTCACGACGTAACTACTGAACCGATTGCTTTGAAATTTTGCAGAGGTAAAGTAAGAAGTCTGGATTAAATAATAGGGTACTTTTATCTTTTACCCGGAAATATTGATATTCCCGAGGGAAAACAAAAGTATTGGTATAGATGGGGCTGTGTGTATTGGTATATGTCACATAGGTTACGTTTTATCCTTTTGTGACGCGAGCGAAGCCGCGGGTAAAAACTAGTTTTCTTAATATAAGGAAAGGGTTCATTATTATTTTCATCCGACATCCGAATCAAGTCAGCGACACGTTGCTACTCATTATATATTTTATGCGTTACAATAACCACACAAATCATATTACCAGTTTTAAAATAAATGGATCTTCAAATATCATTATATCTATCCGAATCAGAATCAACAAAAAAATCCAATTAACAATCATCAATCGAAAAAAAATTATGAAAAAAGTTGTTTATTGCATAGCTATTTGTACCTAACTACTATTGAATGGTTTCTAGGTGTATTGAGCTGTTACCATGTTCTTACTATTGTAAAAATGGTAATAGTGATATTCCAGACTAATCGCCAATTAGTATCTATTCAGCTAGATAAAGATTTTTTACAATACTCGACAATTAACCAGTCAGGAATGTTCATGCAACAATTAGCCAAAATTACTGAAAACAGATCTTTTGGTAATTTTTAAACGCTCATACTTAGAATGTTAAGTACTAGATCATAAGAGAGTTTGCCTGCCTTGCTTGGCAGGTGGGTTGGAGATTGCAGATTAAAAGGTTTAAGTTTATCGAGAGAATTAGAGAGTTTTTATAATAACAATTGTGAGACATACTAAATTAACTAAAAATCTGCACACTGCTCATAAGGAAGAACCCCTCTGTGGTTCGAAACTAGTAGAGCTTTTCTCAGTATATTCACGTGAGTAACCGGCGATTTGTACACTACGCATTATAGAGTGCTATAGATAAGGGTTAACATTAACATACATATTTGGCAGAGGCCAAATATTTTAACCCTTAATAATCCTAGGTTAACACTCTACGATATAAGTATATTAAAACATTGTAAAACAGATCAGATCATATTGACGTGATTAGACAGATTTATATGAATACTTACATTGATAGCCTACCCATATAATGATTTGTTGTTAGTAGTATGTGTAGCTGTAGGTACACATAAAATCATTAGTATCCACTGTATTAGGGGAATTTTCAGGCCCATTGATGATTCATTAAAAAATAATAGATACATATGTTATTTACACAATAATTTTTTATCTAAATCTACATTTATTGTTGTGCTACAAATCATAAACTGCATAGTTTGTAGGCAGTAATTACCTTTGCAAAATTAATAGAGATCGTGAGTCGTGACGTCTATGTCTTAAGAAGAATAGATTAGCATAATACGTGTTTGTAGAGATGGTACACCGCTTTAATATTTGTCCTGCAAACAAAACGGACTAATAACGTCATCAAATGATGCTTCCATCTAAGTAGGAAACTGCAGATCCTGTATACAAAAATGTTTTGTAAAAAGTTTGGGTTTTCCATCTATGTAGCTAATACGTTATCAGATAATTTTGAAAGCTGTTTTCCTTTAGTTCATTATTTTCTTTAACTCGTCGAGTACCGGTTTTATAGACACAATTAAAGAACAATAGGTCGCGGTCACCGGTGACCGCTTGGTGTTTGACAGTTTAATAGACTATTTTGTATTAGTACTTAAGACAATTTTATTTCCAAATAGCAACGGCAACGTGATCACATATAGGTACTTATCTTGTTATCAATACCTAAGATGTACATATTAAATTATAATAGGTAGGTAAAGGTATAACTAATATTATTGCCGCAAATAATTCTATTACTAATATATTTTTAACGACTTTTTAATCTTATATTCTATCCTTATTATAAGTATTTTTGCAAAAATGCGTAACCCAACTACCTCACGGTCCTATATATATTTATATAAAGTGAGGACAGTCTTCCTTAATTTACATATTTTCCTGCAAAAATGCACGATTC